ACACACACACACAATCATGCGCCATGTCGTGCTCCCAGCCAAAGATCTGCACCTTTGTCAGGGGAGAACCACTTAGGCACGCTCATATACACACACATATTCACATTCATGTCTGACTTTCTTTTTTTTTTTTTTTTCTCCTCTGCACACACAAGTCTTCACCACTTAAGCCGTCTTCCTTTCACCATCTCGTGCCCGCCCCACCTCTCTGCGTCTTGTCTGGTCTCGTGTGTGCGTGACTGTGGCTGGCTTTGGCGAGGGTGAATTAGCACGGCGACCCAGTTTGGTGCCAGAAGAGACAAGACGTCAGCGGAAGATGTATTGAAGAGTTTTATTCTCCTTCCACAGCAAATTCTCTTCCTGCTCAGGCTGTGGTGATGTAATAGTAAATAAAACACAGTGCAAAAACATCACCTCCTGGTGAGAATAATCATAAAGCAAATTAATTCTGTTTTCAGATGCTTTTATGTTTTTCCCCCCATAAAAGACCTTATCTCGATAACCTCATATAACTTACTTTAGAGTATAACACTTAAATCTGCTTTAAAATGTGGATGAAAGCAGCTCCATAAACAAAATATGACTCAAGGTGATTTTTCTTTTCTCCGCCTTTTTTACAGGCTCTGTTTTGCATTTCTCTGCTGATACTAATTGCCTGCTGCTAATTATAGACAGTCAGTGAGTGGCCCTCTGAACTGGACACACACACACACACACACACACACACACACACACACACAAACACACTCCACATTAGACACTCTTACACACATTTCAACAAGGAGCTCTCACAGTTGAGGCAGGAGGCTGTTTGCCGCTGGCCTCAGACTGGTAAGACACAAGAAGCGATTTGTGTGTGTGAGTGTGTGTTTGTGTGAGTGTGTTTTTGTGTGAGTGTAGGTGTTGGGAGGTGGAGGAAACGGAGTAGGGGGTGCAGGCAAACCGGTGTTGCGTGTCTCGTTCGGCTCGTTTAGCTGACAAACTGCTTTAAGCGTTTAATTATCCATCGCTCCGTGATTAATAGGTTTTAATTACAGTAACCCATGGCAACCTGAAAAATGCACAGGTCTTTGAATGAGGTCAGCCCATCACAACCCCATGAAAAAATCAAAAGAGGCAAAAACAAACAGAAAGTGTTTAAGAGAGAGAGAGAGAGAAAGAGAGGATCAAGAATCTTTGCATTTCAAACGTCTCACTCATTATTCATTAGAGCGGAACGAGAGAAGAGCTCAGACAAACACATGGCTATTTTCTCAGTATTTACCGACTAAAGAAAAATATTAGACCCAGGAAAAGCTTTTGACCAGACCTTGAACTTCTTCCCTTCATTTAATATCTTTTTCTAACATGAGCCACAGCCACAGAGCTTCAAACAGACTTTGTGATTAAGTAGAAAGGTTAGAACTTTTATAAATTCATGTGTTGTTTCAAAGGCTCCTGTCATTTCTGCTGATGCTGGCGCTCAATAGAAAACTTCCACATAGTTAAATAAAGGAGAAACTCTGATGCTTACAAGATCATTTCTGCTGTTGAGGAAAAAGGATGACAGATTAGATAAAAAATCTGCCACGATGTACCAGACGTTCCCAACATCCCGAGCAGAGTGGAGCCAGTTTAAGCTGCTTTTATCAAACTCCTTTGAGCTCTGGCCTGTTTTTGTAGCCTTGCACCAACCAGCACAAGTAGCGTCTCTACAGTTTGGTATTTATTATGTTTTGTTGAATGAAAATATGTTGTTAATTTAAATGTTTAGACAGTCGCTAATCTATCTAAATTGACATAAATAAAATGTAAATTCACAGACAACGTGTTGTATGAACTTGTAGTTCAATATCCACAGACTGCAGCATCATTGACTTCTTTTATGGTTCTATTCAGACTCTTGGTCCTGGTCTTTTTAAATATAGAAACAGTTCATAGTGACTTCAGACACAACCTGTTATTAACATTTAACAAACCCTCCATCTTTCATTGACCTTAACCAAACTGCCTCTGTTGTCTAAACCACAGACGGGACTGTGGGTGTGAACCCCGATCCGTCCACTATCCACACCAACCACCTCCTGGTGACTCTGCTGCTGTTAATAAATGTGGCTCTTTATTCATTCAAAAACTATATTGCCTCTGAACGTCACTCAGCCAGTGAATACTCCCAAACATATTTGTTGTTGTGGTTTAATTGGAGGGGGGGTTATTTCAAATGAGGCAGAGCAAAGACTTGTGAAAAAAGTGTCTTTGGCGAAAAGACACATGTGACACAGAAATAACAGGATATCAGTTGAAATGTGAATAAAACGTTTAAAATGAAAATAAATGTTCTTCATTCTTCTGCAGATGTCTAGGTACCATGATGCACACAGTGTCACAGTGTAGTACTGCATTATACACAATACCGTTCATAGGGTTTACTTTGATTTATACACATGCACATGACATCAGGCTGCTAGAAAGTGACCACACACCTTTAACAACACTGGTCTTTTATAACTTTCTTTCTTTATAGTATTTTCAAAGTCCTGATATTTGCGATAATGTCATGCTGATGAGTCAAAGGATAAAGTATTATGTGAATTGTGAAACTGATATATATTCTCTTTTTAAAATGACAATATATGATATTACGATTTTATTCTCATAATATTGAGACTTTCTCTTACATGGCCCTGATACACCATTCGACACTGTAACACATTTAAAAATTGAAGGTCACTATTTGCAACATGAGATAGAGCTGTTGAGATATTATAAAGAGCTTCAGCAAACTGTTCTTCAAATATGTTTTCTATTTGTATTGTACTAATAATTCACTGAAAACCATGTCTGGTGCAGTGTGTTGATGTCGAGCCACTCAGCAGCCTCCACACTACAAAACAATTGCTGAGCTGTTGTTGTCGTACTTTTCCCTGTCCGGCTCAGCCGTTGCAGAGAGATGAGACCAGAGATAACAAGTGGTAGCAGAACATACCTCCAGGATTTGTATAACTCAGACTGTTGAATCGTCACATTATCTTCGGCTGAACTTCAGTGTTTTTTTGTTTTGCTAACAGACTGAGGGCTGGGGATTTTGTCCCTCATCGCTTCTAAAATTGCTTTCAGGCGGGATTTGTTTGTGGCCAGTGTGGACATAAGGAACAATTACTCACCCACTACCATCCACTACCTCTGTCTGTTTACATCCTCTAACAACGTGTCAGTGCTGTTGTTATGAGACGGTGTGTAGACCCTCTCCTCACACTCAGACGTATAGTTATAGTTTCAGTAGTCCCAATGAAACTGGCCCCATCTTCCAGAGGGCCCTTAAATGATCTGCACAAATTGAATAATACACCCACTTCTATTTTTTAATATATTTAGACTTATTGGAAATGAACCACTGCAGCACAGAGCAGGGGAACTCTAATGACATTTACTGAACCACTTTACAGCACTGGACACAGATATGGAGCTCATTGAATTGAGCTCTTAGGGCCACAGCGGCCTCTGCTCTCCCTCACCTGACGCTAAAGCTGTGGGGTTTCTCTCTCTCTGTCATATGCCGCTGTCGCTACTGGAGTGTCTGCCTCATCTGTCATGTAACCTGTCTGTCACTCACTGTCTGTACAATCAGGTCGGACCTGATTTATCTGTGTGCACTTGCTTCTGCCTTCTGCAGCTCCTGACTGGCTCTGCGTGGCTGTAACAGCTGTTTTTTTAATGTAACCTATTCTGCATATATTGTTTTACTGCAGCCAGAATTTGTATTCATCAAATAAAATATTCTGCATTCTCTGTAGTCATTACTGCTTTGTGGCTTTATTTAACCTACCTATTTTGTACAAGGACAGTTTTTGCTCCTTCTCCTTCTTCTTCTTCTTCTTAAGATTGTCTATGCTTCCAACACTGTTTAAACTATAGCTGTGTTGTTGTACCTTATATTGTGAGAAGGAGCCCAAGGTCTACCACTGAGAAGAAACAATTGAGATTATAGTCAGGTCAACCTGTCTTCTATGCAAACAGAAAGGAAGATATTCGAGAGCTGAAACATTTCATGATTAATAGATTTGCAAAGACAGACAGGATTTTACAAAGTGGCTGGATGTATAATTCTGTTATAGGCTCCAGCAACCATCCAGCCTGACTGTAACTCCGACCGACTGCATCCTTCACAGCTGACAGGAGTTACTGTAACAGGTGTACTCCAGATGTGCGGGACTCATTCAGTCTGCAGGGTTCTACTTTATAGCCCAGTGTTGCTTTGGCTGTTCATTTAAATTGAGGGGATTTTCCAGCTGATACATAACCTGTCCTTTGAACGTATTTCATTGATATTCATTGACTGTTGGTAATACATGTGTGAGTGAATACAAATACATTTAAAAGAAAAAAAAAACTGATAATAAAAAGTCCAACTATGGATAGTGAACGACTGCTGTTTTATAATTCAACATTTATTATTCAGGTTTCAGAGCAGAGCCACAGCTCAGCTGAAGTTCACCTCTTCGCCCTCTCCAGAGAGTTTACACTTTGTGCTGCTCTCCATCCACTGTAACATCCACTCACTCGCTTTTACACAGTAGAAATTACCAAGGTTAAATGGATGCCCATTTTTTTTGAGAAAGGAACATGAGACAATTTGTGTTCAACAATGTTTGAAGTCTGTCCTGAGCCTATGGTCGAAACTGCAACACTGAACCTGTCGTTACTGTCTGTGAGAAGCCAAATACATGGAGCAGGATGCAAGCAGAAAACACCTATACCTTATTTTTTACTTACACAAATCATGGTTGCTAAATGATCTGGCATAATTTTCAAGATCATTTATATTAATAACCCATGTTATCACTTAGTTGACATTTCAAACAATCGGCATTCAGATTGAGTGAATTTGAAGTCCGGAAGTCAACACACCACAATCTGCACTTGATTTCCCTGTGTGACTGTTTGCGTTGTACCAAAGTTCATATTACAGCTTTTGCACAACCACAAAGAAAACCAGCTGAAACAGCACAAAGTTAACTCACCCACACACGAGTCTCTATGCTCTTCGAATCCAGCGGAGCACACGCACCTCCCGATGGGCACCAGCCATTCTCCTTCAGCGCTGCAGTACATCTTGGGGGTGTCCCTTTCCTCTGCATGGTCCACACACTGACCCCTGACCTCCACCAGGGAGGACGAGTCGGCACCCGTCACCACGTCGGTGAACACGGCCAGGTTGCGGCTCACACCCACGCAGCGCTTGTAGTACACCCGCACCGACGTGAGGGCGATACAGGCGCCGATGTCCTGGAAGGCCAGGTAGAAGCCTCGTCTGTTCAGAGGGCCCACGCCCCGCACCTGTGAGGAGGGAGGAGCAGCTGACACATCACACACTTCAGGCTGTCCAGGGAGCGGTCAGTTCTTTTAGACAATAACATAAACAATTAGACACAGTATGATATATCATGTCTGTGTTCATGTCGCAGCTTGTTTTGAGGGTATTTAACAGCATGGAGCTGGATGTGACAAGGTGAAGCTATGAGTGAGTGAGCAAGGAACAAAGTCATTGCCATAATAAGAAAGAAGGAACACATTAAAGTCTACATTCATGTGCTGCGACAAAGCCAGCAGCAGTACAAAGTCAAATTTCATTGTGTGATAGATTCTGGTTTTTGTGGCTTCACTCGACCTTGTGAACAATGAGGCAGGTTCAGTGGAACAGCTGAGCCTCTCTTCATGCAGTCTAAATGATGCAGTGTGATTTTGAGACTTGCTTTGGCATGAAATTACACTTACACCCAGTTGAAGGAAAACAGAGTCACTATACAATGACTCTTAGTACACTGCTGTTACCCTGCTAGACTCCTGACGAGCCTAATGAAACTGGAGATACTGTTGTCTTCATTTCACTATTCATTCACCACTCCCATTGGAAACCTGGTGCTGATATTACCTAAGATGCTGACAGTCCACCAGAGATTAGGGTGTGTAGGGGTGTGCTAGCAGTGGCTATTTGCTACGTTCAAACAAAGATGAGTAGCAGGCTACAGAAGTCTTATAAGTCCACGTCAAGAGGGTCCCCTGATGTTTGAATTTACCCCCACCCCTCTTCTGTGTTGCTGTGAACGTGTCTGAGCAGAGAATCTCATGCTGCATCGTTCATGTGTGAAGGGGAAACCTCGCACCAAATTGTGCGGACATCCTCTGGAGTTCATGTTTGAAAACAGCAGCAGACTTCACAAAGCATTGCTTGATAAGGAACCAATTCACATTTGCAGTAAAAATTTCTGAAATCCGACTTTGGTGAGTAAAATATGGGGATTCCCCCTCATGTATTTCTCAATGATTTATGGCATGAATATAGCATAAAAATACATTTCTTTCAAAAACTGGTTTTATAAGATGTGATTTCGAGTGGCCAAACATCCCCAAAACAAATCTGAACGTGCTCATGTGCGACTCCATCAGCAGGGAAAGGCATTTCAAGTGCATCATTTAGTATTTAATATGAGGCCTAACATAGAATCATGTTTTTATAATTTAAAGACAGTCATACCCGCCCCTACCTTAAACTATTGCTTTTTCTTAAGAAATTCATAATAGATTTTTCTTAACATTTAAACGTTACAACTTATGACACTTTTCTAAATGGAACATGAGGCATAAGGGAACTGTACTTGACAATATTTAAGAAGAAAGGTTATTGGGTTTTTTTATGTTCAGCGCCTGTGGTGAATTTACAAGTGTACTTTCAGTGCATGCCGTCACTTCTGTACACTGTAAATAAGACACAGGACACATGGATTTAAGAAGCCTCCCTATAGGTTTTATAAGACAACTTACAAGAGTTCAGAGAGTTCTATCACTTCTTCCTGCTCAAAGCACAAACAGAGGTGCTAAACAAAACAGGTAGAACCGTGTGAACAAAGCCTTGATTTAATCTCTGGACTGGTGTTGGTGTTGTGCCTTGGCAGCAGTCATTAATCAACTGCTCCGCTTCAAACAACAACCTGGGAACATGGATGTTATTACATTTTTGTGTACTTGCTTTTTATTGTAAAATATCATATCACACTTGACTGTCTTGTTAACACCCAGGAACTGATTCAATGACTCACTTTGATATTTAGTTGTGGAAGCATCTGCAAATATAAGGACATCTATTTTTGGCATCAAGACTCAAAAACATCCGATTGGGTGACAGCTGGGAGGAGGAAGTAGTGAAGTTGTTTCTAATTGACTTTGAGGGAAGCTGCAATTAAGATTGGAGGGTTGGTCTTGATTGTTTTTTGTTAGGTGGATGAAGTCTGCTCAAAAATGTACACAATATTAATCACCTCATCTAATTAGCAAGTCTAATTGTAACTCCAGAAAGAAAGACTCGTATGAAACACTGCACCACCGTTCCACCAAGAAACCTGTGACATGTAAAATACAATATGGAGCAAACTACTGGCTATTTTAGCTTCAATTTCTTTACCATGGTAAAAGTGCATGACATATCTGAAAAGTGCTCCAACTAGAATTACCGCACTGCAGTTGTATGCTTCCACCAACTAGTTCAGTTTCTGTGTACATATTTCTCCATTATTTATTTTCGAGACTATTATACGGTAATGTGATGTTTACCTTTGACTACTAATATTCAATCGTGTATATCTTCAAGTGACAACCGATTAACAGTTGAAGAAATTTCAAGTCGGTGTTGAGATATCACATTCAAGGGGCTGAAAACAATTTTTTTTGAGGCCACCGTGAACTTTGACCACCAAAATCAAATCTGTTTATCAGAGAGAATTCCCTTCCGGTTTTAGATATTAACTTCACAAGGGCAAAATGTTTTTATGAGAATAAAGAGTGACCTTTGACCTTTGACCATCAAATCGAATCAGTACATCCTTAAGTCAAAGTACCAAATTTAAAAAAATTCCATGAAGGCATTCTTGCAAAGTCGCTTTCCCAAGAATGGGATGGACGGACGGACAGATGGATGGACGAGCAACCTGAAAACATTATGCCTCTGGCCACTGCTGCTGACATACAAACTGACCAATCACCAAAGAGTGGGCCAGCTGACGAATCAGAGCAGATTGGATTTAGGAGGTGGGGCATGAACGCCTCATGTTCACGTGGGACCACGCTGGGAATTTTCTCTGATGATCTACTGGATCAAACCAGATATGGTTTTGACCCAGTGAAGCTTTAAGAGTTTGCAGAAAGATGTTCACCATTTAACACAAATAGTTCAATAGAAAAGTGACCGATGTGTTTGCTGATGCTAACAGCTGTTGTGCAGTTGTAGTAGTATGGATGTAGCGTCAGTCAGTTCTACACTTCTTATAGCGCATTTTAAAAGACATAACTGACATTCAGGGTGAGGAATGGGAATGAAAGAGGAAACATTCTCCCTACTCCAAGTCAGTGAACCGTCAAACACAAATTGCTATTTTAAGATGTTTCTTCGAATACTGGTTTAAAGGTCCAGTGTGTAAGATTGAGGTGAAAGAGAACTATTGGTAGAAATTTAATGTAGAATAATCCTCCTGATGTTTTCACTAGTTCATTTCATCTAAATTGTATGAACTGTAGTTTTCTTTACCCCAGAAAAGACCCTTTATATTCAAATACTTCATTATTTACATCGAGGGGACCCTCTCTATGGAGGCCGCCATGTTTTTTACATTAGTCCAGACTGGACAAGCTAAACACCTTGTGAGTTTTTAAGTCAACTGAAGCTACCACAGTTTCTTTTTCATGTTTGGAAGGAGAGGGTGAGGTGAGGGGTCTTCAGCTGCAACATGAAATTTCATCACTAGATATCACAACATTCTACACACTGGACCTTTAATTGAGCCTTAAGTGGTTCCCAGCAAATGACCTTCTCCCTTTGTAGTTATATTGAAGTGATTCATTTGTAATGATAGCTGTGATGGTTCAGTTTGTGTTAACTCTGTGAGATGACATCAGTGGGAGAATGGGAAGAGACAGACTGAGCTAAACTAAGGTTTTCCAGGGCACTCCCCTGTTTCCTCTTCACAGGATCTCTTCTGTTTGCTGATGTACATAAAGATCTATTTTATTTAAAGTAGCAGTGCTGAAACATCATTACTACATCCTAATTAGTGGCTTTGTTTACAATGTGGGATGATGGACTGGAAAGATTTTCAACTGTGTCCTAATTAAACAGCTATAGACTATTATAGTGATGCGTTTTGTTGCTAGAAATTAAACATATGCTGTGTAATCAGAGTCAACAGTTGCCATTTAAAGTGTCTCAGGATTCTTTTTTTCTGCGCTAACATTTAACGGTTATGGAGAATCACACACACAGCTCATTTTGTGTAATTTCTCCACCAGGAACTAAGTGCTAGACTTATCACACATGGTTGTGGAAATCCATTGTTATAGAGAACACAGTGGTGGATAAATGAAAAAATAAGAAAATATGTTTTTTTTTGTCTGTAACTGGGAACATGGAGAGCCCGGAATATTTAATCTGACAGACACTGAATTAAATGTCCAGAATCATGTAATTCTTTTTTCTGAATAAAAGGATATACAATGACAAGATATGGTGAGAAAAGATATAAAGATGTGCAAACACTGTACATGTGTGTGTAGTGCAGAGGGGGGTTCTGGGTATTACTCGTGTTGTGGGGACCGAAATCTGTTCAAACTGTTACGTTATGAGGATTTGTTAATAATGGAGACAAGACAAGACATATAGAGATAGCCTTGTATATATTGATTTATACATAAATGTAGATATACATTAGATACATGTTCGCATGTATATATAAAGTTTATGTATTTGTGCATGTATTCTATTTGTATGTTATCCTAGATTGGATTAATTTCAAATAGAGCGATCAAGTAAAAAAAACATCATGAATTTAAAAATAATGCAAAATAATTGTGGATATCTGCAGAGGCACTTTCTGTTTGGTTTCAAGTTAGGCTGAGATTTTCTTTATCAACCAGTTTTTTCTGCTCTACTAATGCAGAAAAAAAACTTTTAAACAAAACAAGGAGTATTGCAACTCAACTCAACTCTCTGTTATTTTTAAAGTTGAACTGAAAGTCACAGAGAGTTGACGATTGTGTATCCGAGTATGTTTGAGTCAGAGAATCTGCACCTGAACAGTGTGGAGAAGCCGGTCTCTCCAGGTGCAGGACACCGAGGGAAGATCAGGTTTAGTCACTGAAGTTTCTAGATTGACTTGGAATGCTGCATTTGAACATCTGCACTAAACCTTCATTTTTATCAACAAAGGCTTTGTTATTTCCTATAACAGCTGGAAACTGTTGCTCTTAGTCTGTGTAGCTGAAACATGGTATGGTGCTGCTGTTGAGGATGTTTCAATGTTTGACACTTGCACTTGAACACTGGAAGCAGGATTGTGTGTCAGACTGAGTGACAATAAACCACAGTATGTTCATGTCAGCTGGAGCAACAGTGTTGCTCATTCATCACTTTTAATAACAATGATGGAGATTTGTGCTGCAGGGGAATATAAGATCAGGTTTTTCACACGGACACAACACTTAGTGCCTAGTGGGGTCTTTTTATCATTGGTTTGGGTTTTTAAAAGAGATCTGTTGGTAATTAGGTAAATATGCAGAAAAATGCCATAATTCATATTTATTAAATGCAAAGCTGTTCTCAACATCAGCTTATCTCCCATGATGCTGATGTGAGCCCTGTTTGTTTTCTTTTAGAAATCTGAACTGAGCACAAAACAGTGTCAGTGACAGAACTGGTAGAGGATCTCCAGGATGTCTTGAACTCCTGTGGATGTGGACGTGGTATGAATTGTAATAAACCTCGTATTCAAAGTGAGATATTGCTTCAAAGAGCCTGGACTGACATTTTCTTGTTGTATCAGTCAGCGTTCTTGCCATGTTTTTTTTTTTCGTTGTAGTACATACCTCAGTGTTGAGTTTTAGCCTGCGGACTCCCAGGTCCACGCCTGTGAAGCTCTCATCAGCAGCGATGGTGTCGATCTTAATGAACTGATTCTCCCGTATGGCCGAGCCCACCGCTCTGTCAGACTCGTAGTAGTACAGGTTGAAGGTTTCCTGTGGAACAAGAAGAGCTTGTGTTGTAATGTGTTCATTACAAGAGGCCTCATTTGGACTGGACTTATTTCTCAGGGGGAGATGGGGTGATTTTGTTCCTCCAGTAATTTAAATCCCATCTGGAGGGACATCATTTGAAATTGATTTTTTTTGTCCTGGCCTATCCTTTTTTAGCTCAGTGTGAAATCTGATACTTCACAAGTCACAAAAGTTTCACTAATATGGAAATACTGACACACACACAGAGGGACGCTCTTAATCTGCAGATTTGGCCAGTAACAGGATGTTGTGCCTTGCAATCTAAGCCAAATTTAAAGATGTGCATTCACCACAACACACAGAAACATGTAACTTCCAAAAATCCACTCCACAATTTTGCTATTTTTTTTCTTTTTCAGAAAACGTTTGCTGCGTGCCCATCAGGTCTATATTTAGTCAAACAGCTTTTTAGTTACAGGTTCCAAATTTCACAGTTTTTGACTAAATGTCAAAGTGGTCTGAAGAGCAAAAAATGCACTTACATAATTATGTTTAAATGTCATTTTGAAGCATTTTAAATTGTGGAGAGTGATATTTTTTTGCACCCCTCCCTTCTCTGTGTGTGAGCGTCACCTTGCAGGTGCCCAGGACTCCAGGCATGCTGTTGCAGTCTCTCAGAGTGAACTTGACCTCAATGTAGATCCTCCTGGCTCCCTCTCGGGGGATCCAGATCGTCCTCAGCCAGTTGTTCTGGCTTGGACTCATCACGTTACAGACCTGATTCAGAGAGAAACTGTTATAATGGGCAGCTGCAGAAACAACATTAATAAATACAAACAAAGAAACAGAAGAATTAAAGATGTGGAATGTGGACTACTGGATTATTTTTTCCTAGAAGTAAAAAAAGTGTATCTGATTTTTATTTCAAAACTGACTTTTATCTCCTTATAATAAGCAGTTCATTTATTTGTATGGTGCTCACTGGTGTCTGGGTCTGAGTGGAGTTCAAACATGGTCATTTCTCCTGTCTTTATTTCAGGTCAGATTCTATTTATTTATGTTTGACTGAAACTCAAGTCATTAAAATTTAATCGTAATTTTAAACAATTGATTATAATCAATTGGGTGTTTTCCCCATCAGCGTTATTGGTGAAAGCTTTGAAATTAACTTAGATACAACCACAATTTTTTTTTTTTTTATGATAATTCACTCAGATTATTATTTTCAACATTGGGTTCGTAAACCTTTTACCAGTCAAAGAGTCAAATAAAATCCTAAAGATAAATTTGAATACTTGAGGCACCTTTCTGCTTCAAAATGGACTGTAGTGATGAATTGGTTATGTCAACAGTTGACTGAATAAACTTTTGAGTTAAGCTCTATTATAAATGCTATAATTAAACAGTGAACTGAATAATCATGCTGTTTCCATAGTTTCCCTGGGACCAAAGGCCTGCATTATATTTCACTTAAGTTGATACAATAATCAATTTTAATAAGACATTCAACCCCACTCGCACTGAGAACATTACACACCTGGTACGTGTGGATGGGACTGAAGTACTCGTCCATCTCATTAATGGCATCCCACTGTGCAGAGATGAAGAGAGAGAGAGGGAGAGAAACGTTCTGGGTTAAGTCACATATTCACACGTCAACACATTTTACAGATTTATATGCAGCAAATCATTCAGCTGCTGTCTATATTTCCCACATGATAGGCTGTGCCTGTGCGTCTCCCTAACCACACTGGAAGTTTATTAGCTTTGACTTCAAATGAAACTTGTGACGACTCCTGTCACACAGCCGGCACTCACGTTAGTGTGACAGGTGTATGCTATGCTATATTTGAATCTCTCAGAAGGCAAACACTGTGGTTTCCTGATAATTGGTGCTGATTTAGAACCTCATTATCTGCATGACTTTGTAGGACAAGAGTAGAGAGCGTTTGTTCTTCTTTTTGCATGAGGTTAAAAATTCACCTCCTCATTCGCTTTCTAGTGTTTCTTTATCTAAGAGTTATTTCAATTGTTAAAGTCTCCATAAAGACTGTTAAACTGGGATTATTGCTGGCGTTAAATATGCTGATGCATTCCACTCCGGCATTACGGTGAGCAGCAGTTAACACATGCAATCGTGTTGTCTACATTTCAGCATGTTGGAATTCACTTAATGTAATTCCAACGGGACGTATTTCCCTTTAATGTGATGCCCCTCGTGTATGTGATTAGATTTACATTGTTTCCTGAATGCCACTGGCGGCCAATAATAGAATTATGAGGAGGAACAGTGGGTGAAATGTGTGGGTATTTCTAAATGTGCGTTACACCTTCATGCACCAGGAGAAATCACAGGAAACCGTCTGTTCCACTCTGTATTGTGAGGAGATATATAAGCTGCATTGCTGCAAACCTCTACGTACAGATGCCTAGAAAATGTCCAGAGGATTGAACCTAAAAATTCTGTTTTATCTGAATGCATCAGTGGGTATGTACACAGGAGCATTTTTTCAGTGGAAGATGGTTGGAAATAATCTCTATTCCATGGACAGATCCCAACCTCACTACACACAACAGTCAGTCTATTTTTGCTCCAGTGTTCACCAGCAGATGCAAACTAGGAATTAGCATTAAGGCATTAGCATTTCATTTTGGAAAGATACACAACTGTGTACTTAGCTGGCACTTGACTGTCAGTGAATAAATAGTCAAATGTGTCAATCAAAAGTTCAGACATCTGTCCAAATAAAATCAACAGAAACTGGATATATGCATATCGCTTCCAGGCTAAATTTAGCTCTTAAGCTTGGTTTAAGGTAAATGCATGAAAGGTCAAGTTGATCGATGAAAAAGTCTGAACCACAGACACCAGACACAACCTTTTCATAACCGACAATCCAACTTTCATACCAACTTCACACATTCACTAGTTGTTCAGGTAAGAAACAACTCTGGTGTGAACTCCTCTTGGTTTTGCTTTCAGACACAGCTCCCACTGTCACTGTTCATTTGATCAATCGAGTGCAAGACTACAACTATCGTCCAGATTAAAAAATATAACTTTTCTCAACTACCACTATCAACATGGCCTTGAGGCCCTTCATAACAGCTAAATAACAGTGTGAGGACAAGAGCAAAATCTGTTTGTTGGACCAACACTTGGATCTTGATTTAAAAGTTTCAACAACCAATGCATGAGAGATTATAAAGACATTCATGGTCCCCAGAGGATAAATGAACACTTCTCTGACTTCCTTTCCCCTTTCCTCTAGTGCTAATCAAGACTTTTAATTAAGTAATTTTATTTAAGTACTTTATAAATACAACATATTAAACATTATCAACATACCAGTGTTTTGTCAGCGTGCAGATGCTAGCATTCAGCTCAAAGCAAGGCTGCACCTAAAGCCACACAGTTCTACAAGTATGGCTGGATAATTGTTTCCATTGCCAATCAGCATCGTTCAAACAGGCTCCATGTTTACTGAATCTCTACAACAGAGTTGGGTATTAAAATGTCATCATGATCCCTAATGTTTGCATTGCATACTTATTGCTGTACTCTGACTACTCATGGTTTTCATTGCTAGAGCAAATCCACACTTATGGGGTAGACCACAGCACAGCCATAGAGGAAATGGATGTTCTGTCAACTGGTTTATTCAAGGTGACATGTAGACTCAATTACAGGGTCGTGCAAACATGCACCTAAATTGCAGGGCTGTGACATTTTGAAAGCACCCATCTTCCCTCCCTTCTCCTGATGAAATGGTAAATTTGCTTGTGACATAAAGCTCACAGAGGTCATTCAAAAGACAAACAATGAAGAATACACTAAAGAAACCTAAGATGTATTTAAGAAAAGTCCAAACAGAGGGCGATAAATGGAGCGTCACTTGCAAGCTAGTTCAGGCAGCCAACTCAAGCTGGGCTGCTCCAATCATGACATACCTCACTGTCTGTAATCATCTATAACAAACACCCACCCTTCAGCTTCAACCCTCCACCCTCCCAGCATTCACCTGTTACAGGCTCGGCCTGTCCCTTCAAGCACGTAAGCCAACATGTGTGACGTTACATAGTAAACCTAGGAGTAAGGAAAGAGAATAAATGTTGTTTCGTGATGACGCAGATGTGTATATAGAATGTCTCATCATCTTTCTTCAACGGGATGGTCCAGATGGCTGGTTACCGTTACAGACAGCTAGCAAAACTACCAGTGAGCTCCTAACTACAGTTCAGAGCCTAGATACTTAGGAAGAAAAGATGAGAAAGGTAACACACCTGTAGGCTCTGATGGGTGGTTATAAGTATTAGCTCATCACTCCCACCATATTTATGCAATCATATCTGTGGGAGTGATTAGAATAGAATAGAATGCCTTCAATGTCATCACACAATGAAGCATGGCGAAATTACAGCAGCTACCACTGAAAGGTGCATTTAGTAAAAAAAGAAATAAAATATAACAATAAAAATAAACATGTTTACAGGAAAAAAACATTCAAAACTATACAAAATAGAGGTGCAAAAGGAGGTAGTTGTGGTTGGATAGTATAAAAAATATTTTTTGGAGTTCATTGTTCTGACAGCCCATGGACAGAAGCTGTTCCTCAGTCTATTGGTTCTATTGGATTAAGTCGGAGCCTGGACATCAAACACTAACCTGCTCTACTGTTGCAATAAACATTTTGACGTGAGTTGTCTGACTGAATTACTATGATGCTTTAGACGTTAGAATGTTTGTATGGGCCCTTTGGTGCGAGACACCAGAGTCACCCGATATCACATCATTTAATTTGATGATTTCATGGAGATGCTCCAAAGTGCAGTAGGTGTAATCAAAAGAATTGTATGTTTTGCAGGGAGAAAGAGAAGGATTCTGATACTGTACACTCAAATTGTGTTTTGGAGTTATCTTTGGCATTAACCCAAGATAATTAACACAGAGACACAGGATCAAAACATGGAACATTTATTTTTTCGTTTGACTAGGTCTCTAATGGTGACCTCATCCTGCAATCGAGGACACAAACATTAAATTCAAACCAGTAAAGCTGCCACGGTTCTTTTTATTAATCCCACCCTTCTCCCCTTCTAATCAAATCATACAGCTTTCCTCCTCAAAGCTAATATTCTATTAGTATGCAAGTTGGCCTCATCCCTCACTGCAAGAGCCACCCCACATAATTTCAAAAGAAATGACATCATATTAAAGGGACACTTTTGCACATTACCTGATGACATCATGCAGGTTGTTAATAGGCGTCCTGACCTCTGTGGCTCTGGAGGAGCTTCTCTTATATCTCAGAAAACAATCCTGAACAGGGTTATCTACACTTTTATTTGCTTAGAAGTAAACATTTTAGGAGGTCCGAATGACCTGTAACCTATTATATCCTCCTTTATCCTTTCCATACTCCTTTATGATGTAAAGTTGACACAAAATAAATTATTCGTAGAATGTATGCTTTGCTAAACACACATAACATGAACAGTCTGGCTTCTCTTGAAAGCAAATGGGAAACAAACAAAATAATTCCAGAAGAAATCTGGTAGAAATCATAAAGGCAGCTTTACAAATATGCATAGGCAAACTGTTGTTTCAAACAGTGCAGTCTTCATCGGACCAAAGAGGATCTAAGATTAACGTTCATTCTTGATGAACCAAACACTTTTTGTGTTTTGACCCTGTGTTTTTTGTGACCTTTGATTTATGTATGAACTCAGAATCTCCATGCGTTTGAACTTTATCTGTTTTATTTTGGAACTTGTGCTATCCTTGTGTGTCTCTTGCTTTACTTCCTTTCTTTGACTGTTGATTACTTGCCTCGTCTTCATTTGTATTTTTCATTTTGTTTTGTTTGTATATCTTCTCTGTGTCTTCCTCTTTTACCGAAGAAAGCAATTCTCCCTCTCTCCCTCCTTCAGATGAGCTGTAGTGAGGATTACTGGTGGGTATTGAAAATTGGTATTCATCTTGTGCTCTCTTGTATCATGGTCACAATACATTTCAACCTTCAACAATATACAGAACTGATTATTTTTAAGTATTACCAGAATGGGCAGAGTCAATTTGTATGCCTGCATGTTTAACCCTGGTGTTACCCATGATCCTCCTGGGCTGTGGATCCTTGCGCAAGCGGTGGAGTAATTGAAAGGGAAAGTGTCGACCCCGGGAAGCTTTGTGCTGGGCCCAGCTGAACTCGGCCCTGGATAAGACGACCAGGCTTTCTGTGGAAGCTCTCCAACTCGTCTCCTCAGCCCCAACTCGCCCCACTCCCTCCCCTCCCCCGACACACACAATCCACTCAAGGCACCACCAGCCAAAAACCACTGGGATAATTAAGATGTAGGAAGTCTCACCCTTCCCTCCCTTTCTCATCCTCTCATCTTTACCAGCTAAATTGAAACTGTCCTTGAACTTGTGAAGACCTTGGCTAATTAGTGGGGTGTATAACCTCTCTCTCTCTGTATTCCCATCTTGTCATCAGTGCACTCCCAACCTCTATTTTTTTACTTTGTCTTTTCTTGGGAAATCTTGGACCAGATTGGTTGTTGTCTGGATGTGAAAATAATAGAAATATTTTC